AGGAATTACGGGAAGGAATTCCATGCTCCACGCTCCACTTCTTTGTTTGGTTTTAGTTTTTCAAGACATGTAGTGAGAGGCCCGCTTGTTCGTTCCTAGCCGCCCAGACTCGAAATAACCACATAGAAACTGTATTAATTAAATCACTGCTTGGCCTATTAGCTTATACATATCTCTAGCTCACTCTTATCTCTGAAATTAACCCATTTCTATTATTTTATATTTTACCATGAGGCTCATAGCCTACTGGGAAGGTTCCTGCTAGCAGCTTGTGTCTTTCTTCTCTGGCGGCTCCATGATGTCTCTTGACTCCGTCTATATCTCTTCTACCTGGCAATATTCTGCTAAGCCATTGGCTGAAAACAGCTTCTTTATTCATTAACCAATAAAAGCAAAAATATACAGAAGGACCTTCCACACCATTTCCCCTTTCCTGCTTAAATAAAAAGTAAAGTTTTAACTTTAACATAGTAAAATTACATATACCAAAACTTATCAAGCAAGAATTAGTTACAACATTTATATCTACTTTATCTTTTATCATAATTAACAAAAACTATAATTATAACTATCTAATCTTCAACTCCATCAAAGACTCCAAAAGGATATAATATTACCTAAGTAAACAGAAAGTACATTGTAAGCAACTTCCAAAACTCTAGAATTGACAGAGACATCTCACTGACTGGACCATCACCCAAAGTTCTTCTGTACCGTTGGGGCATCCAATCTTCAGCCCACAGGCCCATAGTATCCGGCAGACTTTTCCATGAAGCAGGAACCGTGAAGGATTGTCTCACCTTCACAATCAAGTTCAGCAGTCATTTCTGTGTAGGTCCTACATGTCCAGTTCACACAGAACAACATCAAGCAGTCCAGACAAGAGCAGTTTCTTGCCCAAATGACTAGCAAACTCCATAAGAAACCTCTTTGATGCCCATCTTCCTCTTGAAGTAATTGGTGCTGCCAGGAGCAGATGTGTCTCATTGTCATGAAAAGGCCTAAATTATTAAATATTTTAAATGGCATATTCTAAAGATCTCTGGAAGATGCCACAAAGACAGAGTTTCTTCTTTTTTTAAAGACTTATTATGTATATAGTATTCTGTACTGCATCTATGCCTTTAGGCCAGAAGAGGGCACCAGATCTCATTACAGATGGTTGTGAGCAGCCATGGGGTTTCTGGGAATTGAACTCAGGTCCTCTTTAAGAGCAGCCAGTGCTCTTAACCACTGAGCCATCTCTCCAGCCCAGAGACAGGGATTCTCTGTATAGCCCTGACTGTCCTAGAACTCAGTCTGTAGACCAGGCTGGCCTCGAACTCAGAGATCCGCCTGCCTCTGCCTCCTGAGTGCTGGGATTAAAGGCGTGCGCCACCACCACCCCGCCATGCTCCACTTTTTGTTAGCATACACATAAATGGGTTTCACGGTGACATATATATGCTTACGTGTGTGTGTGTGTGTGTGTGTGTGTGTGTGTGTGTGTGTGTGTGTAGTCTCATGCATCCCAGCCTGGACTTAAACTCACTGTGGAACCCAGAATGATCTTTAGCTCCTGATCTCCTGCCTCCATGTTTCAAGTGTTGCAATTACAGTTTGTGATTCCATATTCAATTTATGAGATGCTGGGGATAGACCCAGGGCTCTGTGTGTGGTAACCCAGAACTCCAACACAGTGCTACGTCCCCAGTCCTTTACTGTGCTGTCTTCGTACATACAGATCGGTGTGCTTTCTTCTCACTTGCCCTCCCTGCTGCTCCCTCTCTCCTTGCTGACCCCCTTCCTTCTCACCAAATCACTTCACTTCATATACACATATACGCGTATACATGTAGGTATGCCTATGTGTACGTGTATGTATACATGTATGTGTATGTGGGTATACATTCACGCTGCACACATATATAACGTGTGTGTTTAGTCTGTTAGCATCGTGACAGGGAACATGAAAGCATGTGCAGACATGGTGCTGGCTACATCTTGATATGCAGGCAACAGGAAGGGAACTACGGCCGTCTCTCCGGCCCTGAATCACATTTTCTTTATCTGTTCGTTTGTGGCTTGACATGACATCTAGGCTGGTATGGTGTATTGTGCATAGCACAGCAAGAGACACGGACAGGCAGGCAGGCATCTCTGTTGCATGGTGACTGGGAGCCCTTTGGGTACATGCCAAGGAGTGGTATAGCTGGGTCATATAGCAGTTGTTGCTCCACTTTTAGTTGGAGAAAGCTCCACACTGGTTCCACCAGTGGCCGCAGCAGTTCACCCTCCTGCCAACAGTGTACAAGGATTCGTCTTCCCCACATCCCACATCCTTGGCAGCATTTAACTTTCTTTTCTTTTCTTTTTTTCTTGTTTTTTGAGATAAGGTTTCTCTGTAGCTTTGGGGCCTGTCCTGGAACTAGCCCTTGTAGACCAGGCTGCCCCCTAACTCACAGAGATCTGCCTGCCTCTGCGTCCTGAGTGCTGGGATTAAAAGCCTGAGCCACCACCACCCGGCTTAAGTTTGTTTTCTTGACAGCCATCCTGACTAGGGTGAGATGGAATCTCAAGTCGTTTTTAATTAGCATTTCCTGGTAGCTAAGGATGTTGAATGTTATTTCAAATATTCATTGGCCAAACTATTTATTCCTTTAAGTGCTTTCTTAAAAAAAAATTATATGCAACCGGGCAATGGTAGCACACTGCTTTATCCCAACACTCGGGAGGAAGAGGCAGGTGGATCTCTCTGAGTTTAAGGCCAGACTGTCTATAAGAGCTAGTTCCAGGACAGCCAGAGATATTACACAGAAAACCAACAACAACAAAAT